TTGTGGTTTTAGTTCAGGAATTGAACAACAAAACAACCCGTTTTTGCAAAACGTTATTTACTTAAACGTTCGTCCATTACAGGAAAATAACACAATCAAATACCAGTCTTATTTTTATAAAATCTCGAATCAAGTTTTTCAAAAATATCTGATTGGATTTTCTAAACTTGATTTCCGCTTGTTTTTGTTATTAGCGGGGATATGGGTTCAAAAAATATGCCAGTTTCTCTAAGTTTTTTAGTTTTAGCTTAAGTAGCCCAAATGTAACTAATTTACTTTCAACGCGGCGTTGCTAAGAAAAATAACTCGACAAAGAAAGACTGAACTTTTTCACTCTTCACACAAAAAGGTTTTTTTTGACAAACATGTAAGTTTGCTTATATAACCCGGAGGTTATAGAATACATTCTGATGATATAAAGCTTACAAATCAAATAAATGTGAGATTTTTTTATACATATATTGACGAGCAAAAAAAATGCTGCTGGTTGATTTCAGTTCAAAAAAATTTGAAACAACAAAAAATGGTAACTCAACAAAACCATGGCTTGCCTAGCAAACATGAACAAAGCAGACCTACTTCTAGAGGCTAAAAAATTACAGAAAATGCTAGAGGAAGAAAGAAATCAGAAGCTAGTCCATGAAGAAACCATTTTGAAAACGCAAGTGCAACTACAAGAATCGCGTCTACAACAACAACAGAAGCTATAACATCACCAGTAAGCTATCACAAGACTGGAAAAAGATGTATAATTTTTCTGAAAACAAACTGAAAAATTAATTGACAAATTACTAGAACAAAAACAGCAAGAAGAGTATCCAACATTTCAACATTTCAATGATAAGTTTCAGCCCAAATCGTCCCTCAGTTTGCAAAAAACCTCAAAAAAATGGACAACTCATAGCAAAAAATTAACCAACAGGACATTGGGCTACTAACCGCAATACATTCTTATTCATTGGCTACTATAAATTACTTAAATAATTTTGTTGACATATATGCTTATCGAACAAAAGTTGAAACGCTTGTTATGAATGTCGGACATAATTCTTTGATGGGGGACTAACCCGAAAAAATTCTTGTGAAAAATTTCTCCAAACTGCTGAGAAAATTTGAGCCTCATAGAGTTGCAGTATGCAATATAACTTCTGTGAAAAACGGTTCTTTAGGCAGAAATCAAAACAACACTGAAATAAACATCTTCAACGATGCTCTGGAAAATATGTGTTTGGAAATGGATGGTACATTTCGCTGGTCAAAAGTTGAGTGTGTGAAAACTAATCTAATACCTACTAACATTTGTTTCAGCGGAGTGCAACCAAAGGCTAGTGGTTTTCAATTACTAGTGGAAACCTAAGTAGCTGTTTTTCTAATAACGGCCTAAGCATTTTCAATGCTGAAATAAAAGCGCGGAAAACATTTCGCAAACCAAAGGACGCTTGATTTTCAGTTTTTACTGTCAGTTGATGAGTTTGCATTTTTCGCCGCTTTTTTCTTTTTTTTTGTGGTTTTATTTCAGGAGTTGAACAACAAAAACAACCTTTTTTGCAAAACTATAGCTACTCAAACGTTCTTCGGCTAAAGGACACTAACACAATCAAATACCAGTCTTATTTAAATCTGTATATAATTTTGTTTTATTTTAACATAAGTTTTTTGCGTATCGTAAAAATTTCAAATTAGTCCTCTCAGGATACAATGAAGAGAATCTTGTTAACTTTCATGACCTGCAAGAACTATTATCTTAAGAACAGTTTTTGAGAACTGAAAGGCAATCTAACACAGTCAAATTTCGGTTGATAATTTTCAGTAGCGTACAAAACAGATAATAAGGTTTTGTCATTTTTTTAATGTGAAGTTTCAATGAAGACAATAGTTGTAGCAACAGAAACGTGGCTCAACAACAAAACAGTAGGAAATACTTTTTTAACTCAAGGCATAATTTTGTTCATCTTCCATGCTCAAAATGCACAGGCCTAAAATGAGGTGTTGAAATTTGGATTCCTTCAACATTCAAAATGCATAATCGTTAAGATCTCATGACTGCTGAAAGAAAGTTTTCTGAGTCATTTTCGTTTTGCTCAAGAAAAAACTTCGTTTTCCGACAACCAAATAAATTATGTTAATTTGTACGTATTGTCTTTCAACATAAACCACTATATGAAGATGAAACATTATATTCTTGCAAACCAAAAAATGACATCATTGAAATCGAGAAAAGAGTTTTGCATAATTTTAATTGAAAAAACTTCAATCGCTGTTTATGATTGGTCAGAAATCTTTGAAAAATCCTCGCAATCAGAAAACTCTGAGGCCTTTGGACTTATTGTTGAAAAAGTTATAAGTGCGCATGCTCCATATTGCACAAAAACAATAAATCAAAAACTGATAACCAAAATCAAAAAAACTTGGTTTAATAAACCTTTGATGACTCTGTTAAACACTAAACAAAGCTATTTGAATATTTGGAAAAACACTGGTTGTGAGGTAGCGCACAGAGAGTACAAAAAGGTAAGAAATTTGTTCAACTAAAAAAGGCAATTGTTTAAAAATATATCACATGGAAAATTTTCAGCAGCTTTCCAACAGTAGAGAACAATGGGATTTCAAAAAAATAAACGAAAAAATGGGGAAAAAAGTAACCAAGAGTCAGTAAATCTTAGCAAAAAAGATCTGGAAGATGGCCAAAAAAAAATCAGAGACTTTTCTGAAATAACAAATCATTTAAATCAAGTTTTTTAAAATTAGGTATTTTTAATGGTGAATATATACCCCGAAAACTAAAAAAATTGCATCACAAGAACAAGAATTTACAAAAAACAAGTTACCATTGAATAAATCTCCAGGGCCAAAGGGAAAACAAGCTTTTCGCCTTCAGCAACTTGCTATCGGAAGGCTCCTCCAACTCCTAAAAAACGAAAGTAAAAAACAAAACCAGTTTCCCTCAATTCTCAAAAAAGCTTTTATCACCCCTGTCTTTAAAAAAAGCTAAAACAAAGGTTGCATCAAATTTTAGGCCTATTTGCGGGACAAACAAGCTTTCAAAAGTTTTTTAACGCTAGCTTTTGAACTGAATCATAGAATATTTCAAACAAAACTAGTTTTTAAGCATCTGACTATTTGAATTTCAGGAAAACGAAAATGCGACTGGTGCAGTATCATTTTTAGCGAAATGGTTTGTGAAAACATGGATCAATCAAGAAAAACAAGTGCACTTTTTCTAGATCTTGCTAAAGCTTTCAATTCTGTTTCTCATGAAATCTCCTTTGAAAAAGTTGATATGTATATTTCTTCCAATAATGCATCAAAGCTGCTGAATGATTTTTCAAGAACCCTCCTTAATGTATAAAGCTCACAAATCATTATTCTGACTGAATAGCACTTAATCATGGCGTTCCACAAGCTTCTGTTTTGGAACCATTGGTTTTCATTCTTTATGTAAGTGATTTTAAAAACCAAATCAACAGGAACATGATTTTAGTGCAGTTAACAGATGATACAACATCTTATGTACATTAAACTCAATTGAGGACCTAAAAACCTCAAGGCTCGAAACACTAGAAAAAGTACATGAATATTTGAATGAAAACAAACTTCTCCTTTTGGTTGACAAAACGGAACTTATTGTCTTTGAGAAGAAAATACTTTAGAAAAAATTATTTATAAAGAACAAACAATACCCGCAAAGGAAAATGCCAGTTATCTTGGAGTTTTAGTTGACAAACATTTTACTTTTTAAGCTGAATTGGATAAGTGTTTAAACAAATAAGTCAATATACTGCGCTGGACACATGGTACCATTAAAAACAAGAATTATGTTTTTCAGATCATTAGTCTTGTCACATTTATCTTTCAGTTCAGTATTTTTTCAAAATCTATCCATGTCTCAAACTAACAGAATAAACAGACAAACTTTTTGGGAGAGTCAAAAAGTACTATCTCCGCAGACAACATGATCATGCACGAGATCTACTACTCAAGTGTAAGGTTTTACCAGCCGAACTTTTCATTACCCTGCATAGCTTGACTAGAATGTTTGATGAGTAAAAACATAAAGAGAAAAACTAAAATGGTAGGCAGTTTATTTATAACAGAGTACCTGTGAAACTAAACAAACTCACAAAGCAAATAAAACAAAACAAATTTCTAAAGACAAATTGGGGAAAGAAATCTGTAGTAAACAATAGTTGTAAAAGCTAAAGCTAAAAAAAATTTAGATTCGATATTTAGGGGATTTTAAATCATATGTATTTTTGTACAAACCTGTAAACTCAAAATAACCGCTTGGTTAAACATACATGCTGCTACAAAATGGATTTATCATAATAAGTTAAGAATCGACAACTACACCGGTATGTAAATATAAAAATACAGTTTGTATAATTAAAATCAATAAAGATTCATTAAATTTGAACTTCAAGTTTTTTTAAGAGAAATACACGAAAAAAAAATCCTATTGACAGATCCATTAGTTCATTCGAGATTTTTTTTCTTCTAAGATTAGTATAGTTTTATTCATTTTTAATTGTACAAATTGTTTTTCTACATTTACATGCCGGTGCAGTTGTCGATTCTTAACTTATTATGATAATTCCATTTTGTAGCAGCTGGTATGTTTAACCAAGCGGTTATTTTGAATTTACAGGTTTGTGAAAAAATATTTATGATTTAAAATCCCCAAAATATCGAAACTTTCTTTCTTGACCTTGACAACGATTTAAAATTTTTCTTAAAAGCTTTAATACGATATATCCCTTGCGACCCTATTTGATGCTTATTTGCAGTAGCTTGATCTTAACAATATTTTTGGTCACTTTTTGGTGCTTCAAAAGATTGAGGCGAGTGAATCAAAAGTGATTGCGAACGCGGAAGGTATCAACTAGATAACAGTCGCGTTTCTTTAATGAGCTGAAGGGCTCACAGATTGACAGCTCATAGTCTCGGTCTCATAATTTCGCCTTCTACTCAAATGGTTTCTTTAATTTGTACTTTCGTTCTAGTGCGATAGACATCTACGTGTGGGTTTGCTTCTCCTTCGTCATCCTCTCCCTCCTCGAGTTTGCCCTAGCGGACTACTGGAACCAGCGGGAACTCAACTCCTACAACAAGGCCGCCCTCCGCAATGCATCCGCAACAACAGTGTCCAACTACCGAACCACCTCAGATATCGGAAATCCATTCGGTCGCTACCTCAATCGAAACACCGACGAGCGGGGAAGTGGCATCGTACATCACAACTGTTCCAACTGCGACCCACCCGAGAAAGAAAGAGTCACGTTACTCACAAACAATAACAGCGTCCAGAACTACCATAACGAATCCACCAATTGCAAGAGTCACAGCCCCATGGCGAACCATCACCGCGTGACTAACAACGGAAACTTCCAAAATGCGGAAGGGATTCCAATGAATAGCGACCGAAGTGAGTTTTATAACAACCGGTCTTGGGCTGCCACCAGGCGACCGGGACCGGACCCCACAAGCATGAAATCAGCCAAGATAGACATGATGGCACGTTGGATATTCCCCACCTCATTTTTTATATTCAACGTCATCTACTGGTGTGTGATATCATGGAATCTTTAGTGAACAGCAATGGCACTTAACTTCTGGTACAATCCGAGACTCATTTCATTCCTATTTGATTTTTTTTCACCTGTAATTGTTTCTTGTAGTAGCGTTAATGCTCTGTCACAAAAGCAGCTAATTTACCAATTTTCTCATTTTTCTTAAACAAGTAAAAGTGAGCAATACAAGAAAAACATTTCAAACCCGGCGGGAAAACCTTAAATTGACCATATTTCTAGGCTTTCAAGCGTTGTGTTTGCGTGTATACGAGCGTAACTGATGAACAAGCGACAAATTTTTCCAATTATACGAGTTTAGAGAGAATAGTCACTAGTTTTCAAATAAATTCATTTAAAGCTATGATTTCTAGATGATTGCAGATAATGAACCAGCACTGTACACTGATAAAAATTAAATCAGAAAAACTCGTAGTGACCAAATATTGGTGACAATTGAGTTTTATTGTACTAGGTTGTTTTCTAGAGCAAATGTAGGCAAACAAAATCATATCAAGATTCTTGTCTAATTCAAATATTGCTTCAGTTAAACAGACTTTAACAGAATGCGATTACATTAACTTCTCTTTTTAATATAATTGATGTAATTATTGTTCCGACTTTCGATACGAAAGTAACGGAATATTTGTGCTCGGGGTGGGTTTTTTTTTTCTTCAGACAAATTTCGACTTTTTAACAAGCCATTTTTGACGGAGTTTTCTTACATCATTCGAAAGCTATTGTTGTCCTGAGCTTAAATTTGAAAAGATATTTCACCTGTGATCATTTTTCGTAAAGTTATGAGGGTTTAAAGATTGCCATTTTGGCCAATTTGGGACAATTAACGCGCGACATATTTCGCGCTATTAACGCATAAGCGAGATTCAATCCGTCTTAAAAATCGTTCCAAATTGGTTCAAGGAAGCTTAAATGCCATAATTGATTTGTTAATAGGAGCAAAATTTATCACTTTGTACTAAATATGGCATGTGGGGGGATGTTTTCACAAAAAAATCTCAAACTTTTTAGAAAAAAAATTTTAACTTTACTTTATTACATTTAAATTTTCCATTTTATTACTGCTCCATAGACCTTAAAAAGCAGTCGGAACATTCAGGGCTTCGCCCTGATACGAGCAGTCTTGTATAACTTTACAAAAGATAATCACAGGTCTTTTTAATTTTAAGCTCAGACAACAATAAGTTTAGATGAAAAAGAAAACAAAAATCCGTGCTCCTATCCAGTGCACAGTTTGGCCTCAGAATGAAATGACCAGTTAAAAAGTCGAAATTTATCTGAAAAAAAACAACCCGAGCACAAACATTCCGTCATCTTCTTTGAAAGTCGGAACAAAAATCAATTTTTCCGAAATTCAGCAATGTTGAGAGTTGTTGTTAAACAACTGAAATCATTTGGCATTTATCAGTGTTAGGATAAACAAAATGACCAGTAAGAGAAACAAGATTGCTAGTATCAGGGCAAAACACTGCATGTTCCGACTGCCCATTTATTGGTCGGGTATTCTTTACTTGATATATAATTGATAATTTTTTAAAAATTAGGTCGATAACATCAAACTTCAAGTTATAAATATGAGACATTAATAAGACCAATTAGCTTGCCTCAATTCAATTTGGAAAGATTAAGAGTTCGGATAATTTGCCACACATAACTAATTTGTCTATTGAAACAATCAAAGCGATTATTGTTTGAGCAGCAAAGCAATATGTAGTTTAGTTTAGTGCAAGCATACTCGCTTGGCCATTTCAAAGATTTTTGGATTGATTCATTTTTGGATCGAATCAACTCTTTTAAAATCAGTCTGTTTAAAAAAACACATCATTCATATAAATTCTTCACTTTCTTTGAAAGTCGATACAAAAAGAAAAGCAAGCTCGTAATTTTGGTGTGCCGAATCATATGCAGACAGTATCAAATGGTCTCGGATACTTTTTTTCGTGAAATTCTTTCAGATTCTAAATTTGTTGATTATGCAAATGTTTTTTCAGTATTTGAAGCGAAGTAACAAAAATGTATCTCTTAAAAGAGGTATCTTTGGTATATGTTTACTTTTTGTTACCTTAATTAACCATCCTATGCAATTTCAAATGTTCCAAAAATGCGTTACAGGTGCTCAAAAAATTTGGAATTATTCATTTGGAAAAGAAAAAATTCGGGAAACCTTGTTGATAAACCTAAAACTCAAAACATAAAAATAGTATGATCTGGTTTTCGTTTGTATCTTGCGAGGAAAGGTTCCAAATACAGAGGTTCAAAAAATTTTTTAACTTTCGAGTCAACACTGAAATAAAATATTTCAGTTTCGATCAACTTAATTCGCTTCTGAAAACGATCAATTGAAATTATTTTTTTTAAAAAAATTTTCATTGAGCAAGTTTAGAAAATCAAAAGACCTTGTCAAACAAATGTTTTTTCTTCAATACTTTTTGGCATTATCAAACAAAAACTGCGACGAAACCTAATGAGTTAGGACCGAGGTGTAACTCATAGAGTAATTTCGGATAGGGTACACCGTCTGCTCGTCACGCTATCTTATTTTCGGCCGGATAGATTCGTGCAACTTCTTAGTCTAATACCGATCCTAATCTTACTCTTATACTATCTAGTCTCAGGTTGTTTAACTAGTCTCTGCTAGGCTCAATAGATCTAGGGTATACTGGTTTATTGCGGCTGCTGAAGTGCTCGGGAGAGTCCAACTAATTTCTAAGTTAAATTCAAATCTCTCTGGTGCTGAAATTACAAGTAACTTCAGCACTTACAAATAAGTGGGTTGTTAGTTAGATGGATCATGATTGGTTAATATTAAATACTTTACATTGGTAAAACATTTAATTTATCCAATCATAAAATGTAGTTTAGATCAGGTTCCACCCATCCGGGTTTTACAGAGTTTTTTAGAATAGTTCTTCTGCAATTCGAAGGATGGATGATGGACGTTTGTTTTTGGCGAACATCATAATTTTCTTCCGTCTCCTCTTTTGTTAGGGAAGTTCCAGGAAGCTGGAGTTAGAGACATAAGACGTTGTGTCTTCTAGTGACAACGACTACGTCTTTGCAACAAACTCAAATCTGATTTCAGAATGGTTTGCTATGTCAGGTTTTTCTGTTCTGCGTGGAGAACTTCTTTTGTGTATGATCTAGTTTGGGAATGGCGTGGAGATTGTGCGTGGAGGGGATGCCTGGTTACTCGGATCTGTACGTATACTTGAACATCGAGGTGGTCATTGGTCTAGTTCAATGAAGTCCTTTTCTGCGAGGTCAAGTCGTACTCTAAATCCTTTGAGTTGTGATTGTGAGCGGCATATCGATTGTAGTTGGTCATTCTCTCTCGAGTGTAGTGGGGTCGTCTTGTCTTTTGATGTTCGTCCTTGGTGTTGTATTCTGATCTATGTATTGCATCATGTGATTTTACATTTTATAAAACTTTTATTAGTTTAATATTTTTTAATAATGATTTTAGTTAGTTGTTTTCACAAAAGCTTTTTGTTTTAGTTCGGTTATTTTGAAGAGTTACTCACACTTGAGTAGCTCTTATTAAAAATAGTGGTGTGGTCACAAAGCGTGGATGTAGCGCGGTGGGTTAGGCCGGCTATAGAGCATGCTCAGGACGTCCTTCCTGGTGGGTTAGGCCAGGAGTGGGAGTATGATTTCGTGCGGTTTTTGTGAGGGGTCCTGTTATGTGACAACGTTTTATGTTGGGTTTGTTGTGGTCTTACTTATGTTTTGTTGGTTGTGTCCTTTTTTCAAAAATCAAATTGTTTGTGGTATGGGTTTGTCTTTCGACTTTTTTGTGTTTTATTATTTCTTTCTTAGACTTTATAATAGTCTTCAAAAGAATAAATTATCCAGTTTTAAACTGGGTTAATCCGGTTTGGGTACCGTTGATTTCTTTTTCTAAGTCATGCTGTTATTTTATGATTTGTGGTATTTAGTAAGCTGCGTTGGTTAGTTTTGTTTAGTATATGATTCCTTTCCAACCGGGTTAAAGGAAAGTTTGAAACATGTTATTATATGTTAGAGTTGTTGAGTGTGAAAACTTGAAACTGAAATTCATTATTTTAAACAATTCTTTGTGGGCGAGCTGTGCGAGTGTGGATAGAATTTCTGTGCGAATGAATGAAAATATCAAAAGGTTAGTACTGCATTTGCATTTATTTAATTTACTACATAGAATTTAGAAATTTACTGCTAGTCATGGGGGAATATTAAGATACAAATTTTCATCATTATTAGATTTACTGCTTGTGGGGGAAAATTTTAGAAATGAATTTACTGCTTTGGTATTAAATTTATAAATTTATAAGTGTAAGAGATTAATAGAATTTTTGAAATCTGTTTGATGAAATTTGCGATTTTTATTTGTCTTTTGTGGTTTTTGTAGGTGATCGTCGGATGAAGGCTAAAAATCTAAAGAAAACATGAATAAAGAATGGTGAGTTTATAATACTATAATTAGTTAGTAATATTTACTTAATTCATACTTACCTGTTAGTCGTCGGGGAAAAAACCGTGGGGGAAGATGTCGTGAATTAGTTCTGAAGTTGTTAGTAGTTTAGCTAAGATGCGTATGATATTTTTAGTTTGAAGCAGTGGCCAAAGCAATTGAAGTGCCTTGATAGTGGTTAGTTCTTCAGTGCCAACTGCAAACTCATAAGGTGTGTTTTGGATTAAGTTATATAATTTGTGATTAAATTTAGTGTTGTGGATGAATTCTAAAATTGGGATTTCTATGGGTTGTACAAACTCGTGCGGGATAAGGAAGGGTCGGGATTCTTCGGCGTTGAAGGTCTTGGTGATGGGACAGAAGATGTACATTTGGGTTATGGGGTCATAATTACGAAGAATACCATGGAGGTTAGTGTCTTTAATACAATATGTGAAATTTAGGAAAAATGGTGAAGTGTATTTGGAATTTATGAATTGAAAACGATGGTGTGGTTGTCTAGAGGGTGTGTGTAGGTCAAAGTGATTTTGGATGAAGCGATAATAACTATATGTGTGGGTTTGTTTAGTGCGCAACATAATATCGTGTGAGCAGTGTAAATCTCTTTCGTGTGGTGCAAGGAAATGAAAGGTTAGTGAAAATATTTGGAAGCGTTCTTTAAAACTTTCGTATGCTTGTGTGTCTGTTAGTGCTT